ATTTGCACTATTTCTGGCAGTCTGCAAAGGCCCTGAGTCTATTCATCTGCAATGCAGCCCATCTCTTTCTCCACTGCCTTCCACCTTGCCAAACATTATTATGTTTTCAAGTGAGTCATACCTTCTCTTGATATGTCCAATATTTGACAATCTCAGTTTAGTCATCTTGCCTTTTAGAGAAAATTCAGACTTGATCTCCTCTTCTTGCTGTGTGCCTTCAAGTAGTTTCTGACTTATGGCAACCCTAGTTCAACCCTATCACAGGATTTTCTGAGGCTGAGAGGTATGACTCACCCAAGGGTCAACCAGTGGGTTTCCAAGTAAGGGACTTGGAAACTGTGGTGCATGCGCTGGTAACATCCCATCTTGATTTCTGTAATGCACTTTATATGGGGCTACCCTCGTGCTTGGTCCGGAAATTTCAATTAATACAGAACATGGCAGCCAGATTGGTCTCAGGGACATCAAGGAGAGACCATATAACACCTGTATTAAAGTCTCTTCACTGGCTGCCTATCAGTTTCTGGACCCAGTATAAGGTGTTGGTTATTATCTTTAAAGCCTAAATGACTTGGGTCCATCCTATCTTTGGGACCGCCTCCTTCCATACAATCCACCCTGCACACTCAGGTCCTCTGGGAGAAATTTGCTACAGCCTATGAAAACTAGGCTGTCTGCTACCGCTCCCAGGCTATGGAATGGGCTGCCAGATGAGATCCGTCAAATTACAACCTTGAGCAGCTTTAAGAAAGCTGTTAAGACAGATCTCTCCTGGCAGGCCTTTCCTAACGAGTTTTCTGGCCTAGGAGTTAGTCTTCCACTCCTTCCCTCCTAAGCATGCTTATGATTGTTTAATACTTTTTTTAGGGGAGGGCGAGTTTTGGAGTGTTGAGATGCGACAGGGACTGTATTGATTTAAATTTTAATGTTGTAAACCACCCCGATTGCTTTGCAGAGGGTCAGGGTATAAATTATTATTATTATTGTTATTATTATTATTATTATTATTATGGCTGAATGGGGATTTGAACCCTGGTTTCCAGAGTTGTAGCCTAACACTCAAAACACAACACCATGCTGGATCTCTAGAATTTGCTCTAGGACCCATTTATGTGTCTTTTTAGTAGTCCACAGTATCCATAGAACTCTTCTCCAACACCACATTTCAAATAAATTAATTTTCTTCCATATATCTCCCATGTGGCAAATAGCAAATCTGTAGAAATGAGGATGAGAGGTAATAAGGAAAACACAGAGCATGGATATGTTACTTTGCTGGGTGGAGGATTATGGCAGCTACAGCCTCAAACATGAACTTTTGCTGGTTTGGAAATTATGGAAGAAATGCTAACCTATACCCCCCCCCCCACACACACACACAGTGACTGCTTTCACAATTTAAACTTTGGGAAAGTTCATATCACAGATCACTGGGCAGCACATTTACCAGTAGTTTGTCCCCCAGTACTTAAATTTCTGCTATAAAAGACAGCAAGTCTCTTCCCTGAATCTTGAATTAGCATTCATTCTGTACAAATAGGGTGATAAAAACTAGGGCAGGAGGAAATACAGAAAACAAATATTTGTTGTTAACTGCCTTGAGTTGACTTTCATCCATGGCAGCCCCATGAATGAGAGACTTCGAAGTTACACTGTCATCAATAGCTTTGCTTAGGTCCTGGAGACTCAAGGCCATGTCTTCTCTCACTGAGGGGTTATTTGAGATGGTGTCAATAATCCCAGAAGAACATGGATTGAATCTGTGTTGTTCTCATGAATTTTGAATGCATCTGATTAAGTTGAGGGGGTTGCCAAAAACCCCACAAAACCCGGGGTTGGGTTGCTGGCCCTCAGACA